ATTCCGTAGGTCAAGCTTCCAATCATTCCGTAGGTCAAGCTTCCAATCATTCCGTAGGTCAAGCTTCCAATCATTCCTCTGCAAGCTCGGGACAATTAACGTTCACAGGTATCAGTTTGACCGTCTGGAATCAATTTAAGCAAATTTTTGATCATATCATGACCGAAAATAATTATATGGAGGAGATGTGTCTTTCTGTAGCTATGGACATTCGTTCATTGGGAGTAAATATTAAGAAGGCGACGGTACAAGGGTTTTATGAGAGAAATATTAAAAAGAAGAATGGTTATATTAGTACTTTGGATCAAATTTGTTTATGGATTGGTAGTGAGTAGCGGGAAAGGAACTGTCATCATATGGGTTAGGGCTCGGCAGATTTCCTCCCTTGAAACATCCTGCTCATTTTACAAAAATAATATATAATTTGACCTTTTTAATTATTGTATCGTGCTGAATAATTTGGTATCTCTGATACTTTGATTGCCGAAATTTCTACAGAATTCGAAATCCGAAGCGTGAACCGAATTTGATTATCAGGCAATCAGGCGATCGTCATATATATACCCTTTTACCAATTAACGATTACTTATCTCCACTTCCCACGCCTTTTTTTCTGTGAAAGTACATGCTATTCTTATTGAGTGAATCCCAGCAGCGTCTACTGATTGTAGAAGAGGGCATATCGGTAAGTTATTCTATTATAACTACTTTCTTTTAGATTTGTCACGCGTCCAACGTGGATTGAGAGCGGAGGATCCATTACCTGATGGGGTATAATTCGATACTGATATAGCAAAAAATTTAAGTGTAACATAATGAGTTAATAAAGATTTTCGCATATACTGTAACAATATCTATCATTTCTTTCTGATTTGCTATTAATTTCCAAAAAAACCGTTTATCTTCTTCTATAATTGGGAGACGGATTTTTTTCAGATTTAAAGCCAATATATTGAAAAAATTCCCCACGCAATTCAACCATTTTATATATTATTAAGCCTTTAATATAAGTTATTTCAAATGCACAAAAATTGAATCATATAATCCTTAAAATACGTTATAATTACAAACTCTAAAAAACACAATAATTAGGTCATATAAAATGGTTAGCTTAAGTAAATTACGTGGAACCAATTGTACTGATGCTCAATGGGTTGAATATTGTAAGATGCCACAAATTCATGATAATGAAACTCCCAGTGAGTGGATGAAACGGATTTGGGAACGTCTTACATATTTTAGAGAAAATGGTCTCTTACCTTATAATAGCAAAAAATATCTTGAAGCTAGGAAGTTAAAAAGATATTGGAGTGAACTTAATGGATTTTGTACAAGTTATGCACCTGAAATTGGTATTGCAATATGTTTCTCTTGCAATCAATTAGTATATACAGGTAAACGGACCAAATATAGGTAATTATAATCATATGGAAATGGAGAGACATTGGGCTACTCATTGTACAGGAAATACCTTCTGTGGTATAAGTTATAACGAATATTTGTTGAAAATCAAACAAAAATCTATTTCAGGATATAATTATGATAACGAGTATGCATTACACCGTTATGAATTATGGATGCAGAATACTATCAGAAAAGTTAAACGTGCCAGAGAAATTGGTAAGAAATTCGAGCATGTACAATAATATAACGTAAATTCATTGAATGATATTATTGTCTATCTGGCCTTTGTGCTTCAGAACTAGCTCAACATTACCAATTATTATAGACAGTTTGAGAAGAAATGCATCAAATCAATAATGTATAGCTTAATTTATTATAACACGTATTCATTTATTTGATTTAATCTATTTAAAGCTGGTAATATTTTTTTACTTTGATTTTTATATACAGTGTTTTACTTGGCACAAAAAAACCCTAATGTAGATAATAAATCATGTTTGTTATTTTACATCTACTCTAACTACAAATTGGCTGGATTCGATCAGCTTAAAAATATACAGTGTGTTAAGAAATTATTGGCAAAAAAAAAAAATTAAATTGTCATAAATCCATCAGATTTGGGTGAAATTAAATAAACCTTTTTTTTTATTAAAAAGGCAATGAATGGTACATCATTTTTATTTATAAGCTTATAAAATATTTTTAAGAAACTTTACAAAATTTTTTTTGTCAAAATGGCAAGATCCACAATGAAAACCCAATGAGAAACCATATTACATTATTAGAACATAGGAGTTCAAACTGCCAAAGAAATTCACAAAACAATCAAGATTCCATTATGAACTATCTATAATAATCTAAAAAAATTAGAAAAAGTTGGGAATGTGAATCATAAAAAAGGAGCAGGCTAATCCAAAAAAATTACTCCTACAGTTACTAGACAAATTGGTCAAATTATTCACTGAGATTCTACTATTTTACTACATTCTTTAGAAAATAAATTAAAAAATAATAGCACAGATGTCTCACATATTACAATCAGAACATATCTGAAAAACCTTGATTATGAAAAAAAATTGCCAAAAGGTACTTTCATGTTAACTGAAGTTTACAAAAAATGTCAAGTAGAATAGGCAAAGAAACATCTAAAAAACAATTGATATAATATTTGTGAAAGGGAAATTGCATGGTCACATGAATCTATGCAATGGTGATCCCAAAAATGACAAATCTGAGAAAACT